GCTTCCCTGTCTTGCCTTTGCACACGCCAAAGTTGTGGCCCTACAAGTCTCCTCTATAGGAAATGTACACCCACCATAGCAGGATGTACATTCATCCCTTAAAAACTATGCCTAAGGCAGTGTTTTTTTTTTATTTCTTTTTTTTGACAGGCAGAGTGGACAGTGAGAGAGAGAGACAGAGAGAAAGGTCTTCCTTTGCCGTTGGTTCACCCTCCAATGGCCGCCGGGGCCGGTGCGCTGCGGCCGGCACACTGCACTGATCGGATGGCAGGAGCCAGGTACTTATCCTGGTCTCCCATGGGGTGCGGGGCCCAAGCACTTGGGCCATCCTCCACTGCACTCCCTGGCCACAGCAGAGAGCTGGCCTGGAAGAGGGGCTACCAGGACAGAATCCGGCGCCCCGACCGGGACTAGAACCCGGTGTGCCGGCGCCGCAATCAGAGGATTAGCCTAGTGAGCCGCGGCGCCGGCCTAAGGCAGTGGTTCTTAACTGGGGTGATTTTGTCCCTACCCTTCAACAAGTGATGGTTTAGACATTTTTGGTTGATACAGCTGGAGGGATGCTACCAGCAACTAAAGGCCAGGAATGCTACTAAACACCCTACAATGCACAAGACAGCCCCAACAACAAAGAATCATTCTTATCCAAGATATCAGTAGTGCTAAGTTTCAGGAACGCTGATTGAAGGCAACATTGTTTTGGTTCATTCCTTTGACAAACATTTATGAAGTGTTCACTAACTTTTATTTGAATACCTAAATCATTGTTTACAACAATTAGCTTATCTGTGAATGATTTTTTTTCTTCTTTTCCTGATGTGTCCACTAGTAATCATAGTTCTTTGTTTAAAATCTAGTTCTCAGTTCTACAGATTTAAATGCTTTTATGGAAGTATACCACTTCCCAGAATCAAAATTTGTGTGAGTGACTATTTTAAAATTTATCTTATATGGGTGAGGTGGAGCATCTTTTAATTTGATTATTATTTATAAGCCTTGCCCTATTTTCCTGCTTGATGGCCATTTTGCTTTTTATTTGTTGAACTCTTTATTTAATAGTCATTAAGTCTTTGTCTATAAAGTAAATTAAAAATATTTTATCTCAAAAAATAAAATATTAAGTTGTGAAAAGTCTATAAGTGTTTCCTAGGGCTGCCATTAAGAATTGTCCAGGAGCTGTGGCTGTGGCTGTGACTGTGGCTGTGGCATATTAGGTTAAGCCTCTGCCTGACGCACCAGCATCTCATATGGGCACCGGCTCGAGTCCCAGCTGCTCCACTTCTGATCCAGCTCTCTGCTATGGCCTGGGAAAGCAGTATAAGATGGTCCAAGTCCTTGGGGCCCTGAATCCATGTGGGAGACCCGGAGGAAGATCTTGGCTCCTGGCCTCAGATCTGCCCAGCTCAGTTCATTGCGGCCATTTGGGAAATGAACCAGCAGTTGGAAGACCTTTCTCTCTCTCTCTCTCTCTCTCTCTCTCTCTGTGTGTGTGTGTGTGTGTGTGTGTGTGTTTCCTTCTCCCTGTCTGTAACTTTGCCTCTCAGATAAATAAATAAATACTATAAAAAATTATACAAGAAATTGGGTGGCTTCAAATAACGGAAATGTATAGGTTCACAGTTCTGGAGGCTGCGGGTTTGAAATCAAGGTATCAACAGGGCCCTGGTGGTCCTCGGTGTCGCTCGGCTTGCACCTGTGTCTCTTCAGCCTCTGCCTCCATTGTTACATGGCCTTGTCCCATATGTCTCTGTGTGTCCTCTCCTCCTTTTACAACATCAGACAAGGGATTTAGGGTTCACCTCATCTTAACTAATGACATCTACAAAGATCATATTCTGAGATTCTAAATATGCCTAAGTTTTGGATGGCACTATTTTATTTATTTATTTATTTTTTTTTTTTTTTGACAGGCAGAGTGGACAGTGAGAGAGAGAGAGACAGAGAGAAAGGTCTTCCTTTGCCGTTGGTTCACCCTCCAATGGCCGCCGCGGCCAGCGCGATGCGACCGGCGCACCGCGCTGATCCAATGGCAGGAGCCAGGAGCCAGGTGCTTTTCCTGGTCTCCCATGGGGTGCAGGGCCCAAGCACCTGGGCCATCCTCCACTGCACTCCCGGGCCACAGCAGAGGGCTGGCCTGGAAGAGGGGCAACCGGGACAGAATCCGGCGTGGATGGCACTATTTGATCTACTACAGCTTCCCAGAGCAGAGTTCGGAAAGCAATACACTAAACACTGAACCTCTTGAAGGGAGGCTTTTTTTTTTTTTTACCTTCCCAGCTTCTAGCTCAGGTCATTGACTACAATCAAACAACGTTTGCTGGAGTTTTGTACATCGATGCTCATAGCAGCACTATTCACAACAGCCCACAGGTGGAAGCAATCCAAATATCCATTGACAGATGGACATATAAAACAAAATGTAGCATATGTACTCAACTTTAAAAGTAATGAAATTATGGCATGGCTATAAAATGGATGAATCTTGAAATTATTATGTTAAGTGATATGTCAGATACAAAAGAGCACATATTTTAAAAAGATTTATTCATTTATTTATTTGAAAGGCAGAATTGCAGAGACAGAGAAAGAGGGAGAGAGATCTTTAGTCCACTGGTTCACTCCCAAAATGGTTGCAACAGTCAGCCCTGGGCCAGGATGAAACCAGGAGTCAGGAACTCTATCTAGGACTCCCACACGGGTGGCAGGGGCCCAAGTACTTGAGCCACCATCTGCTGCTTTCCTAGGTGCATTAGCAGGGAACTGGATCAGAAGTGGAGCAATTGAGACTCAAACCCACCATTATATAGGATGCCAGCTTCCCAGGCGGTGGCTTAACCTGCTGTGCCACAGTGTCTACCCCCAAAGGAACAAATATTGCATGATTCCACTCATACAAGCTCCCCAGAATATAGTCAAATTAGTGGAGACAGAAGGTAGAATGGTGGGGGCCGCTGAGGGAGGAATGAAGAGTCACTGTGCAGCGGCGCAGCGTTTCGGTTAGGGATGATGAGAAAGTACTGCAGGTGGATAGTGGTGCTGGTTGCACAATGCCGCAGATACACTGAATATTACTGACTTGCACATTTAAAAATGGTTTTTCAAAAATGGTTAAGATGAGGCATTTTATGAAATGTATATTTTAGCACCATAAAATAAATGTTTGTTGGAAGAGCAAGCTGGTTCATGTTCAGGGCATTCTCATCCCAGGTGCCTAGACTACCGGTCCTTAGCGTCCAGTTCCTTCGCATTCTCATTACAATCATTAAGAACAACAGAGTTCACTTAATGAATACTTGTTGTATGCCAGGGACTGTGCTAAGCATGTTGCATCATGCAATTTATTCTGCATAACAAGAAGCTCACAAGTAGATACTGGAACCCTCATTAAAAAAAGGTTTATTTTATTTATTTGAAAGGCAAAGTGATAGAGAAAGAGAGATCTTCCAACAGCTGAGGCTGGGCCAGGACAAAGCCAGGAGCCAGAATTCCATCTGGGTCTCCTATGTGGATGGCGGGGGACCAAGTATTGGGGTCATCTTCTGCTGCTTCCCGAGGTGCATTAGCAGGGAGGTGGATCAGAAGCAGAGCAGCTGGGACTCCAACCAGCACTCTGATATGGAATGCCGGCATGGCAAGTGGTAGCTAAATTGGCTGTGTCATAACGCCAGCCCCTCGAATTCCCATTTTACGGATGAGAAAACTGAGGCTCCATCAGCAGCTAAGAAGTGGGACACTGAAGTTTGTTTGAACCTGAGTTCTCTCAGACCAAGTGCTTCATTACTTTGTGGGACTTCCTCACAGTCCTCTCTCAAGTCTGTGTGTCCCACATGGATCTGGGTTAAAGTGGTCTCTTGTATCAGATTCTCCAACTTCTCCTAAAGAAGAGAATTAGCCAAGACTCACGCAGAGCTTCCTTTGTGCCTGGAAGTGCTTAACACCTAGGCATCCCCGAGCCCACCGCGTCATCATCCTCATTCTGCAGATGAGGAAATGAGCCAGAGAAGCCTGCCTGGCCCTGTTGTAGAACCGCGTATGATTCTGGGAGAGCAGACTTGGGGATCCTTTAACCACCTCTTTTTCTAACAGGAAGAAACCCACCAGTTAATGTCACCAGAAGGGCACAGTGACAACCCTCCCTCTCCTCAGGACAATATCCTCCTGCCAGCATTCGTCTCATGACTGAAATGTTTGTGGAATGAATGTACAAATTAACAAAGGAGCTGAAGTCCTCGGCTCAGTCCAGGGCGCTGTACAGAAGTGCACGTGCTTCCCGGATTCCTTCCCTGATCTCAGTCCTGTAGTCTACCTTAGGTGCCTGCGATCATTAGGTGGGAGAGTCCCCAGTACCCGGCAGCGCCTGTAAGCACCCGCTTATCCCCAGTAGACAGGCGATGAATGGGGAGTAAATTTTCAGGAGGCCCCAGAGGCTCAGGCCGTTTCAGTCTTTTGATTTTTTTTTTCCCTCTGTTATTACAAGTCCCCTCTGGCCTGAAACCTGACTCGGGACTTCTCAGGCCTGGATCCAGCTCCCATCTGCATCTTCGCCTAGAAAAGCATCCCTGTCAGTCTCCTCCCCTTTGGCTTGCGTTCTGCACCTGATCTGCACCCGATTTAGATTGGGAGACTTCCCTCTGCGGCCGCACCTCAGCCCTGCTACAGCGAATGGGACGTCCACAGAGCCCCAGCGGGACTGCGAGTGTGCCGCAAAACCGTGCACCCACTCTTCATCCAGCCCCTACAGCGCCAGGCCTTGTGCACCATCCATATTGGTAGTTACCGCACGCACTCCCTCTTGGAACTTCCGAATATTCATGAGGGAGGCAGAAAGGCCAGTATGAAAGAGGGGGAGAAACCGTCATTCATAAATATTAATCATGGCAGGTCCATGTGCTCCAAGGAAGGCTGTGAATGCTAACGAGCGGGTGACGTTGAACCCTGCGCGTGCCCGTCGGGCGGGTGCACGAGAGCGGGCGCGCCCCCCGAGGCCCTGGCACGAGCGCGGGGAGGGGGCGGGGTGGAGGAGGGAGCGGAGCCCGGCGCCGCCGGAGCTGCAGGGGGAGCGCTCTCTGGCTGCCTCACCCGCTCGCGGCTGCCCGTGCGCTGCGCTCCAGCCGCTCGCCGCTGCCGGTGGATGGGGGTGTCCAGCTGAGTCCCGGGATCCGCCTCCCTCAGCCAGGACCCGCACAGGTGCCATCGCGGGGGGCCGCCTTGATCTGGACCCGAGTCACTGCGGGAGGTGGGGGTGGATTGGGGATAGCATAGGAGGCTCCTAGACTCGGGGTTCTTCGACGGGACGGTGTGGGGGGCGCCGCAGCCGCGGACCCCCACCCCATCCCATCCCGGGATTGCAAAGTAGGAGCTGGGAGACACCGTCCTCTTGCAGGGCTCAGCCGGGATACAGCGCCGGGCAGGGCCGGGGAGAAGATGATGGACACTTCAAGCGTGGTCTCAGCGCGTGGGCCTCCGGCAGGCCGGGCGTGTGCGCGTGCGTGTGTCGCCTTGTGCATGTGGCTGTGCATATATGTACATGTGTGTGCAAGCGCGTGGCCTTGTGTGCATGCACGTGTGTGCACCTGTGTGTGTGTGTAGGGAGGTGGAGTGGGATGGGGGCTAGGGGAGGCAGGGAACGCTGCCCGATCGAGCTGGAGCAGCGGGACTGTACTCATCCCGTGACCGTTATTTGGCCCGGTCACCTTAAACTCCCCCAGAATCGTCTTTGTGCCTAAGAACCTGCCCCCCTACCGGCCTGCTACCCCTCCCCAGGGCGCGGGGCCGTGCATTCCTGCAGTGTCAGGACGGCTGGCAGCGGCCGCGGACGCTGGGGGAGCGAGGGTTTACTACAGAGCAGGGAGGAGGAAGGGCGGGCGGGGCGGGGTGGGGGGCGCCGCGGTCCTGGGGGCCCGGGCTCAACATGCGGCGGGCCGAGCCCGGACCGCTGCTGTCATTGCCGGCTCTTCCCCCCTCTTGCCTGTCCCTTCCCTGCTCGCCGCTGGCCACCTCTCCACCTCACCGCACTCCCACTCCAATGCCCTCATCTCGTTCGGCCAAACGGGCAGTGAAGTGTGTGTGCGGCCTGCCCGGGAAGAGCCCGCTTGCAGCGAGCGCCAGCCATTGTGCAGCCTGGAGGAGCCTTTCTTGGCCCCTACAGGCCGGGGAGGGGGAGGGGACCCGAGACGGAGGAGGGGGAGGGGGTTGCTGATCCATATGCATTGAAATACTCTCTGTCGAAACGTGCAGCTGGCACGACGTGTACACCGGCTGCGGATCTGAAGGTGGATCCGTGGAGCGCAGGTTTTAGGGTCGGGTATGGGGAGGCCCAGAATTAACTGATCTATGGAGCAAGTAACGGCAAGAAGGAGATGGAATCGGGCTTGTGTGCAGGTGCGGCGGGCCGGCAAGGGTGGCACGGTGAGGTCGCTTTGCCTCTGCTCCACTCGCTCAGCTTAGCAAAGCAGGGGCTGGTGGTTTGTGCTGCAGCTAGTGCATCACTGCCCGCAGAGGAGGCTCACTGGCGTTCCTGCTGGGTCTCTGTTGAGCTCCCTGCTTGTCTTTCCTTTTCCAAATCACAGTCTATTGAGAGCTGAAATAAATGGAATAGATTACAGGAGGTACACTATAGTCCTGTGCTCTGATAAAGAAAAGGAAAAAAAAAACCCATTCCCCGGGGTTCCTTCTTCCTGCTGTTTTTCGTGCAGGTATCTATTTTTTGTTTGTTTTTGATTTGGGCGGTATAGAGAGGAGAAACTCTGGCTTATATTAACCCTTGCTTTCAAGGAGAGTAGGGCTCTGAGATGAGCTGTGAGCAAAGCTCCATCAAGCTTGCCAGGATGGAATGACAGAAGGTTGTTTCAGACATTTTAGTTGGGGGGTGAGACGCGAGCCAAAGAAAGTGGCCTAAAGGCAGCAGGCAGGCAAGAAGGGGCAGTGTTGCAACCTGGAGACCCCTCCTTGAGGCTGTGGTGGGAGGTCCCCTCTCCTCTCTCTGCACCGGCCCCGGGGCCTTTCTACAAACAGAGGTTCCGTTTGAGTGTGGAGCATGACTTCAGATTTCCAATGAGGGTTTCCAGTTTTAGCTTCCCCTCCAGCTGGTCATCATGCAGCGATTCTCCGCTCCTGGGTAGTGAACTGAAAAAAGCAATCAGCCTATATTACTGATTGTTTCAAATAACTGTGTTTCTGCGGCTCCAGCTGGGATGTTGATTTGTTCTTTCGGAATCGTCATGATGAATCTGTTTTCTCTAGAGCCTGCCTGGGCTGAGGCTAGGTGCCTCAGCAACGAGCATAATCTTCGTGTTGCAAACACTCAAAGCCCAGTGTCCGTCCTAGATTCTGGGTGGACTGGCCTCTTGTTGCTGGTTAATGGTATAGACTGTGCCCTTTTGAATCAGCACCCCAGTGGTGTCACCTTTCATTCTGGCTCCCCTGTCACTCTCAGGACAGAGTACACATATAAAGAAAGTGTAAATATCTCTAGAACCAGCTGGTGAGCGTTCATGCTCTCTGAAATGAGAACAGTGATCCAAGATCCTTCGACCAAATGAATTTAAAGCACACTTAGCAAGAAATATGTTACATTTCTCTCTTATTTGCTAAGCATTTGAAGCACTGTGTATAGAGCACCGTGGCAGGGATGATTTTTCTTTTCCTTGAATTATCCTGATTTTCCTAGAATTGTTGATATCTGTTGGACACTTTCTGTATTCCATACATTATGTTTAGCACTTCAAAAATGATCTTATCTAGGCAGAGAATCACTTTTAAGGTAAACACTATTTTAAATCCCATTTTATTTTATTTTTATTTATTTGAAAGGCAGAGTTATGGGGGGTGGGTGAGGGGGAGAGACAGAGAGAGAGAGAGACAGAGAGAGAGAGAAGGAGAGAAAGAGAGAGAGATCCTCCATCCACTGGTGAACTTCCCAAATGGCTGCAATGGCCAGGGCTAGGCCAGACCACAGCAAGGAGCTAGGAGTTTTTTTGGGTCTCTCGTGTGGGTGCAGGGCCTCAAGCACTTGGGTCATCTTCCGCTGCTTTCCCAGGTGAATTAGCAGGGAGCTAGATAGGAAGTGGAGCAGCTGGGACTCCAACTGTGCCTGTATGGGATGCTGGCATTTCAGGCAGTGGCTTTACTGGCTATGCCACAGTACCAGCCCCTAAACCCCATTTTATAGAGGAGGAGGTTGAGGCATAAAGGGGATGATCATTTGTCCAAAGTCTCACAAAAATGAGTGATGGGACTGGACAGGAATCTGGAGGCCTGGCTCTTGGTCATTGAAGATACTGGTTGAATTTCCACAAATCCCAGGGCTGTAAAAGCTTTGCTTCTCTTTTGGTACACTCTGTTACCTTTTGTAAGCTCATCATTTTGGTATCCAGGGACTTTTCATCCTTTTTTGTGCTATCAACCCTTTGGTAATATAGAGAAACCTGTGGGGTCCTTCTCCAAATACTGCTTTCAAATGCATAAAATAACATAGGCTGATGAAGGAACCAGGTTTCATTGAGCTATATGAGGATGTCTCAAAAACCTCATGGGCAATGAAATTAAAAGTTATATTTATTGAGAAGTAAAAATTTTTGATTTTTGAAGTCCATTCATTGCTTTTTCATATTACACATTTTTATAAAGTTTTTGAAAGAAAATTTATTTATTTATCTGAAAGGTAGAGTGACAGAACTAGAGGAAGACGTGTAGGGAAATCATCCATCCATTAGTTCATGCCCCAAATGTTCTGCAATTGCTGAGTCTGGGCCAGGCCAAAGCCAAGAGCCAGGAACTCTATCCTGGTCTCCCATGTGAGCAGCAAGAAGCCAAACACTTGGGCCATCATCCACTGCTTCCCAGGAACATTAGGAGGAGGCTGGATTGGAAGTGCAGAGTGTCTGGGATTCAAACAAGGCACTCTGACATGGGACACAAGTGTGCTAAGTGACTCCCTATGCCTACCTCTTTCATGAATGTTTTGAAGACCTTTTGTATATATGGATTTCATTCTTTTTCAGTGAAAAGTAAACTTATATTTTAATTCCATTTCCATTAGTTTTAATTTGTAATTATATACTTGTTATTATATAATTATAATAACATTATAACTATATTATGATTATATATTAATCATTATTAATTATTAATAATTAATTGTTATATAATTATAATTGTTATATAATTATAATAACAAGTAATTATATACTTGTAATTATATACTTTTATTTATTTGAACGTTACAGAGAGAGGTAGAGACACAGAGAGAGAGGTCTTCCATCCACTGGTTCACTCCCAAAATGGCCTCAATAGCCGGAGCTGGGCCAATCTGAAACCAGGAGCCAGGAGCTTCTTTTGGGTCTCCCTCATGGGTGCAGGGGCCCAAGGACTTGGGCCATCCTCTGTTACTTTCCCAGGCTCTTTAGAGGGAGCTAGATCAGAAGTGGAGCAGCAGGGACTCAAATCGGCGCCCATATGGGATGCCCGGTGCTGCAGGCCAGGACTTTAATCCCAATTTGCAATTACATTTAAAGAGCTTATATAGTTCTGTAGATCATAAATGAAGAACCTCTGACTAGTTGTGTGTTGCTTTCAAGCTGTATCTTGTGTGGTAGCCACTCGCCATGTGTGGCTGTTGGGTACTTGAAATGTGGCTACTCCATGGGGCCGCTGCTAGGGTATCGTAGGCTCAGCCTCCGCCTGTGGCACTGGCATCCCATGTAGGTGCTGGTTTGAGTCCCAACTGCTCTACTTCCTATCCAGCTCTCTGCTATGGCCTGGGAAAGTGGTGGAAGATGGCCCAAATGCTTGAGCCCCTGCAACCATGTGGGAGACTCAGAAGAAGCTCCTGGCTCCTGGCTTCTGATCAGCCCAGCTCAGGCCCTTGCAGCCATTTGGGAAATGAACAAGCAGACGGAAGACTTCTCTTTCTGTCTCTCCCTCTCTCTGTCTGTAACTCTGCATCTCAAATAAATAAATAAATATTTTTTTAAAAAAGAAATGTGGCTAGTCCAAAGAGATACAGAATGTAAAATACATGCTGGATTTCAAGGAACTTAGCATAGAAAATTAATGCAAAATATCTCATTCATTTTAATGAGATTATTTATTAAGATGTTACTATTTGATAGATTAAATATATTGTTAAAATATATTGCTACAATTCAATTATTAATTAATTAGTTGTAAAATTAACTTCCATGGGCTGGTGTTGTGGTACAGCAGGTTAAGTTGCTGCCTGTGATGTTGATAATCCATTTGAGCACTGGTTCAAGTCCTGGCTGCTTTGCTTCCTATTCAGCACCCTGCCAATGTGCCTGGGAAAGCAGCAGAAGATGGCACAAGAACTTGGGTCCCTGCCACCCATGTGGAAGACTTAAATGGAGCTCTTGGGTCCTAGCTTCAGCCTGGTCTAGCCTTGGCCATTGTGGCCATTTGGGGAGTGAACCAGAGGATGGAAGATCTGTCTGTCTCTGTCTCTGTAGCTCTGCCTTCCAAATATATAAAAAATATTTTAAAAACATGGAATCAACTTCCAAAGATGTTAGCTCTATAGCAACAACTCATTATAACAACTGAGGAAATCAGGATGTACAGTGCTTGCCATTCAGTCAGCCATTGGCAGATCTGTTGGTTCTTGAGCCCGTGTTCTTTCAAAGACATGGTACTGCTTTTATATCATTTTTTTATTCCGAGGTCCTATCATGTTGCTTTTCAAACTGTAAATGCTCAGAATATGTTTTGATGCAGTAGTAACTGACATAATCCTAGCAAAATCCCAGTAAGACCTGCCCAGGTCCTCATCTGGCACCCCTTTGACCTCATTTTGGAGTGCTAGCTTTGTGGGTGTCCATGGAGACTGGGCACTCCTAGAGTAAACCCATGGTGCTTGCTCTCTTGTGTTCTCTTTTGGTAGTGGTCTGAATGTAAGCGTTTAACAGGACCACCGGTCATTGTGGCATGGGGAAAGAGGTTGAGTATGTAGAGTGGCTATGGTGGACAGTCATGATTATGGGAAACCGTTCGTAGGGGACAGAAGATCATTTTTCAGTGAGCACACAGGGACTGATTACTAACTGCATGAGTGAGTGTGTTAGGAGCCATGGAGGGTGTCCAGAGGACGTCTGTGTCCCCGAGGGATTTATATTGAAATTGGGAAGCAGGTCTAGACGTGCACACAGAAGAATAAATCACAGTTGAAGACTGTGTACTAAGAAGGCCCCATGAGGGGGAGGGGTCCCCTAGTTGTTGGGCAGTGGTTGGAGGCCCGAGTGTGTAGCATTCCAGGGCACAGTGCCCACAATGGCTATTATCTCTGGATTTGGAGTGTGTGAGTAGTTGGATCTGTTTCTTGCAAGATAATAGGTGATATAGACACTTAGCCTCTGTGTCTGCGAAAAACTCAAGTGCTTGTTGGAAAGTCTCTATTATTTATTGATGAGGGTGGAAATAGCCAGGTCCACAAATCCTTATCCAAAACTCTTGGGGCCAGCTGTGTTTCAGAATTTAGATTATTTCAAATTTTGGAAGGCAGTAACTAGTGCATATTCTGCATTTTATCTACATAGTAGCCATTTCTATAAATAAAAAAAATTTTTCTGCAGCAAAGCACACCCACTGGAACATTTTGAAAACACAAGTAACCTTGTATTTATATTGATCAAGTTTAATTGCCAGTTGAGTTTAGTTATGAAAAACTTCCCATCCAAAGCACAAAGTTAAGGATATGGACCTTATAATAATAATAACAACAATAAGAGAGAGTATTGAACAGCATTGGCGTTAATTATCTGCCAGGCACTGTTTAAAGCACATGCCTGTGTTTACTCCTTTAACCTTCTAACAACACTTCAAGGCAGGTCCTGTTATGATTTTTGTCTTGCGAAGAATAAGCAGCAGCACAGGGACGTTAGCTGCCTAAGGTCACAGCTAGGAGGGGCAGAACGGAACGGAATGCAGACCCAAGGCAGTCTGGCCCAGGAGGTGCAAACTCAGTCACTTATGCTTTATGTCTTGAAGCAGAGGCTTGGGTGCAGTGTGTCCCCAGAAATCATTTAGCTTAACACTATTAACACACATGAGGATATTTGAGCTACTAAGAGCATGGTAGTGGGGCAGTGTGAAAGCAATGCATGCCGGCAAAGTGGAATCCTTGTTTTTTGAAGAATACAGAGAAATGGAATAAGTGCTTATGGTTCCCCAGCGGTACCGATGCAAAACCCCAGCCCAAGCTCGTGTTTCCCTGCTTGTTTCTTCTGCAGGAACGAATCCTGCAAGCAGCTGCTGTCCTACTGCTGTGTAAGAATGGAGGCCCCCCTGGTGAGCCTGGATGAGGAGTTTGAGGACCTTCGGCCCTGCTGCTCGGAGGACCCGGAGGAGAAGCCACGGTGTTGTTACGGCTCGTCTCCCCACCATCTGGACGACCCCTCCCTCTCGGAGCTTGAGAATTTTTCTTCTGAAATAATCAGCTTCAAGTCTATGGAGGACCTCGTGAATGAGTTTGATGAGAAGCTCAATGTCTGCTTTCGGAACTACAACGCCAAGACAGAGAACCTGGCTCCTGTGAAGAACCAGTTCCAGATCCAAGAGGAGGAGGAGACCCTTCAGGACGAGGAGTAAGAAGTCTTAGTTGCCCTCTCCCGCCGCAGACAAGGGTCCCCGTAGTCGGGGCTGTTTTGATGGACAGCTAGTTTCTGTCTATAAGGTCATGGCACGTAGTACTTAACACCTTTGTGATGTTGGTGGGGCCGTGCTTGGGAAATTGCTGGCACTGTTGTATATATGTCTCGTTGCAGTCACCAGCAGAGAGCTTTCTTAAGGTGAAAGCTTAGAGGATTGAAGAATTTTTAGGCAGTTGAAAGGCTTTCCTGGACACAAAATAAATTCCAGGAGCATTATAAATTTTGGGATCTATCACCAGTTTTCTTTTCCTTTTTTTTTTCTTAAAGATTTATTTATTTATTTGAAAGGCGGAGTTACCGAGGGGGGGGCGGGGAGACAGAGAAAGATCCTCCATCCACTGATTCACTCCCCAAATGGCCCTGTCTCTGCTTTTGCAGAAAGAAGATCTCTCTCTGTCTCTCAAAGAAAAATAAAAAATTAAAACAAATAAGAAGCAGAAAAAATTAATTAACCACAATGGAGGAATCTATGTCATTGGACCAATTATGCTTAAAGAAACACCAGAATTATGAAAATCTCAAAATTATTTGTAACCCTGCAGGCCTGGAAAAATATCCAGAAATCTTAAGATATGTCCAAATAAGAAAGCATCAAAACTGAAGTGAGAGCACAGGGAATTATCCTGGACAAAATACAGGTAGAAACTAGGTGATGTGGCTTTTCAGTATACATATTCCCATGTCATGTATTGCTGCTTTCTAAGGCCTTAACAGCGCTCAAGCAAAGGGTCTAGGGTGGGCATGACCTAGCAGTTAAGATGCGTGTGTTCCAGTTCAGAGTCCAGGCTGCATACCCGGCTCAAACTCCTGACTCCAATTTCCTGGAAATGCACCCTGAGGAACAGTGGGGATGCTTCAAGTAGTTGGGTCCCTGCCACCCGTGTGGGAGACCTGGATTGAGTTTTCTGGTTTCTGGCTTCTGCCTGAACCAAACCTGGCCTCTGGGAACATTTTGGGAGTGAACCAGAGGATGACAGAACTTTTTATATGTCACTCAAATAAATAAATAAAAAGAAAAGGGATCTGAGAAAATACTGTTGGAAGAGGAGCCAAAAAGAAAAGGAGAGGATAATAGGTTACATAAATCTGTTTCAGGCATATAGTCAAAATATGCATGAATTCTCTGTATAGATAAAATATGCATTAATTGTTCTTTAGGAATAACACAAGAAAGTCAGGTAGTTGGTCTTAGAAATTTGGAGCAACTTTGCTTTGTTTCTTTTTTTTTTTTAAGATTTATTTATTTATTTGAAAGTCAGAGTTACACAGAGAGAGAAGGAGAGAGGAGAGACAAAGAGAGAGAGAGAGAGAGAGAGAGAGAGAGAGGGCTTCCATCCACTGGTTCACTCCTCAATTGGCCAAAACAGCCGGAGCTGTGCCGATCCAAAACCAGGAGCCAGGAGCTTCTTCAGGTCTCCTGTGCAGGTGCAGGGGCCCAAGGACTTGGGCCATCTTCTACTGTTTTCCCAGGCCATAGCAGAGAGCTGGATTGGAAGTGGAGCAGCCGGGACTCAATCTGGTGCCCATCTGGGATGTCGGCACTGCAGGTGGTGGCTTTACCTGCTGCATCACAGTGCTGGCACCTCTCTTTTTGTTCCTATGAACTTGCATGGGAAGAGTAACAGACTGTAGTTAGAGGAACATCCTGAAGGTTGAACCTGCCTGTGTCTGGGAGAAAGTTGCTTATCTGATGACTACTAAGACTGTACCTCTGTAAAAGAGGGGATATTTACTTCTCTGCTTTGTTCACTTTTACATCATCATTGTCTAATGCAGTGCTTGGTGTGTAGTAAGTGACCCAAGTCTTTTTGAATGAAATACTGAGTGTAGAATGAACTGGATGAGCAATAGTAACTAGCCTTGTTGGTGCATGTCATGTATTTCTAGGCCCATACCATTTCCTTCTTTTCTTTTTAATTAATGCTGGCCTGAAGGTATGATCATAGAGAAAATTATACTCTCGTGACAAGTACTATAACTGTGGGCTATATGTTTTAACTCAATTTTAAGTTTTAAATGGATTCTAGTTTTTCAATTCTAAGCCTGGTACAATTTGCTCAATTATTATAAGTCAAAAAAGAATGGCTCTGGGGTTTTATTATGTGGAGTATTTTTTTTTTTTCATTCCAGTGTGCCAGGCAGTGAACTAGAAACACAAAGACGAGGAATTTTAATTTCCCTACTCTCACTAACTCGTCGTGTGACCTTGGGCAAGTCGCTTAACTCTAGCTGACTGGTTGGCTTCTCATCTTTGAAACCTCCTGAGTTCAGTCTTGATGAACCTAATTTCTTACCTCATGCTGAATATGCTCTGAGAAAATGACATTCGAGGATGTGTCCCATTCCTTTTGCTTCCAACAAATCATTTTCCCCCTATCTAAACCCATCTTGTGCTTCATTAAGGATGAAAGCCAATGAGCAAATTGGTATTTGCGTCTATCACATTAGCAGAGGCCGTTCAAGGTTAATCACCACCACATGGGATTATTGGTCTTCTCACCCTGATTTTCCTGCCTTGACTGCCTCATTGGCTGCCTCAGCTAAGAGACCAAAGGTTGAATAATTCCTTAGAGATAAAGTATGATCTGGGGACAGTGTGGAGGGAAGAAGTGTGAAGGGAAATTAACACCATACTGCTTAGGCATTCAGTGACTCTCAATCTCTTTACAATTGAAAAGAAAAACCAGGATTACATTATACGCTTTGTTTTACAGACACCATCCAGCTTTTTCAACTGTAAAATTATAACTAAGTAAAGGAAAAGGATGACTTAATATCTAACCTGGTTGTGATTCTTCTGAGCGTAGCTTTAGTGTTATTGCAATCAGCTTGCTCAGGTGTAGTATTTAGAAGGATGTTGCATCAAAAGTGTTTTGGGTGGGTTAGAGATAAATAATAGAAGCTTAAAACCAGAGCAGGAAAATGGTAAAATGAGAAGACAGAGTCACGGGTTCCCTTAGAAATTTTGATTTCTTTCTGGTGTTTTTTTTAAATAAGATTTATTTATTTATTTGAGAAGCAGAGTTACAGAGAGAGAGGGAGAGGTCTTCCATCTGCTGGTTCACTCTCCAAATGGCTGCAATGGCTGGAACTGGGCCGATCTGAAGCCAGGAGCCAGGATCAGGTCTCTAACACAGGTGCAGGGGCTCAAGGACTTGGGCCATCTTCTACTGCTTTCCCAGGCATAGCAGAGAGCTGGATCAGGAGTGGAGCAGCCGGGACTCAAACCAGCAGTGCCAGCACCTTAGGCAGAGACTTAACCTGCTATGCCAGAAGTTGTACTCCTCATTTGTTCAATAGGGAATTGACTGTGATACCAACTTACCTCTAATTTGTTAAGGGCTTGGAAGATCCAGGCATGAAAGGAGGGTCAGATTTGAATATGTATTTTCCGGTTGTGAATTCAGAAAATATTCCGGAATTTCATCTTTATGTGTGTGTGTGACCACCCTTTGCCTTTTCCATGAGACATCAGATCTGGAGGTCAGAGCCCCTTAGGGGTCACCACAAATGCAAGTGGATGGCCCTCACCCTACCTCCTGCCTCTCTGGCATCCCTGTCATGCCGCTTAGAAGGACCCTGCAGAGACAGCTGGATCAAACCCACGAGACCAGCAGCTGTTTTCTGTTCTTCAGACAGAATTATCGGGTTAAAGGCAATGCTAAAGACAAAGTCCATGCAGTAAGTAAACTGACAGTCCTCAGACATACTTTAACTAGAAGATAAATAAATGCCAAATAGTTTGATAGGGAAAGCTGACAGCTAACTCTGGTTTTTAGGACATTTCCTTCTCTTTTCTTGGAGGTTTCCCCATATAGAAGCCAAGAGTTGGTATTGATTCTATTTAAACATTTGGAGAAACATAAAAAGATGTTTAAAGGAACTGATGTGCTACTAACTCTCAATTCCTAAACGTTAACCACAAAACTGCACTCATGCTAAGTGTGGATGTTGGCATGGCTGGACACAAATCAAGCAGTGGGCAAGAGAAGAGGCCAGCTGAGGGGGTGGTTAAGGGAAATGTTCCCAAGCTGGAATTTGAATAAGCCCTTGAAGCTGCCCACCTTGTTGTTGGGCCCAGGTACCTACATGTGGCTGTGGATTTATTTGTCAGGACTGATCAGCCCCGAAGGCTGTGTTGCTAGCTCTGTGTGCACTTGTCTTTGCGCAACCCCCGCTGTTGGGTTTGCTTGTGCTCTGCCTTTTCCACATCCCCAGCCCTTTGATGTAAAAGACAGTGTAGTCAGTTCTACAGGCATTTAAGTTCAAGCTATAAAAAACACACTTGAAAAGTCTTTTCTGCTATTATGGGGCTGAGACAGCCTTATGGCAGCATAAGGATAGGCATTGAGGCCACCTGTTTTATCTTAGTTCTTTGATAAATGATGGAGTAGGGCGGGCTTTCAAAGCCTCCCATCCCACAGGGAAAGAGAAAGAGCAGGACGCTTCTCGGCGGCAGAGCCTTTTCCTTCCTTTCCTTGCAGAAAGCTCTGTTTCCCCTCCCAGCACTGACTCCTCTGTCCCCGAGGCCACCTGCCCGCCTGTCATGGTGCATCCATCATTGCCTTCGGTTTCCCCTTCACTGGGCTGGAGACCTGGACAGGGAGCTGTCGTGCCCCCCTCCCTCCTATTGCACATCGAATGCACAACGTCCAGAATGACATAGGTGTGCATGTTTTGCACAGGGCCAGCTTCTAAACTGTTGCCCTAGGTTGTGATTTGGAACTAGCTACACAAAGGTACTGGAACAAGTTCATGGAAAAGGGAATTGAAAGACAAGGTTTGGGGACACCTGTTCGGCCTAGTGGTTAAGATGCTGGTTAGGATGCCTGTGTTAATTAGGAGTGCCTGGGTTTGATGGTCGGCTCTGGCTCTTGACTAATGCAAGCCCTGGCAGTCAGCATTGATGGCTCAAGTAGCTGGGTTCCTGCCAC